AGTCTTTTCAAAGGCCCTTGCTTTGCCCTTCTACCTGAATGCCTGACATCATTAATTTATTGATGATCTTCTAGATTCTTAGCACTGGGCCAGTTTTTTTTTTTTTTTTTCAGGTCCACAAGGGGCTTCAAAAACTTCAAGGAAAATGGAATTGAAAGATAATGGAAATTTTCTACACACTTATTAACCCCCATCGTATGATATTTCATTCTCTCAATTCTGTAAACAGTGATAATATTTCTCATGTGACACAGTAGCGACGCAATCACAAGTCTACTTACATCTTTCACATGTATCCTTGTCTCCAAACCTCCTTCCTGGAGGAAGCCAAGGGCTGCTGAGATACCTCGATCTGTGTGAAGAAGACGCCCAGAATCTGGCAGGGATTATCATCTGCCATTGATTGAGTTGGCTCCTGACTCATGACGACACCACGTACAGTGAGCGGAACACTGCGTACCATTCCCATGATTGGCTGCCGACTGAACGTGTGATCCATAGCATTTTCTTTCGTTGATTTTTGAAAGGAGCTCACAAGCCTTTCTTCCTAGCCTGTCTTAAACCTGGCATGTATTGTTGTTGTTGTTAAGTGCCATCAAGTCGGTTCCAACCCATAGCAACCCTGTACAGGGTTTCCGAGGGTGTAAATCTTTACGGGAGTAGAAAGCCTCATCTTTCTCCCGCGGAGCGGCTGGTAGTTTCGAACTGCTGACCTTAAGGCATGTATTAGACACCTTGTAAATATGGTTGTTGTTGTTAAATGCTGTTGAGTCGGTTCCGACCCATAGCAAACCTGTTTAGGGTTTCCAAGGAGCAGCTGGTGAGCTTGAACTGCAGTCCAGTGCATTAACCTACAGCACCACACCAGACATGTATTGATTGTTGTTATTAAGTTCCTAGAGTCGGTTCCAACCTATAGCTAACCAGTATAGGGTTTCTGATGAGCAGCTAGTGAGCTTGGACCTCCCACCTTGCAGTTTAAACATCTTTGCAGTCTGGAGCATTAACCCACAGCGCCACACCAGGACTCCTTTAGAAATCGTATAAATATTGTTTTTGTTGTTAAGTGCCATCGAGCCAATTTCATACTCATAGTGACCCTGTATAGGGTTTCCGAGGAGTGGCTGGTGAGCTTGAACCGCTGACCTTGCAGTTAAAACTGATTTTGTAATCCAGTGCATTAATCTGAAGCACCATGCCGGGACTATAAATATTAGTCCACCTCCATTTTACAGAGGAGGGAGTTGAGACTAAGAATTTCCAAATTTACCCAAGATCACACAGCTAGTATACCGCATATCTCTGAGAGGAAGTAGGTTTGACTATGAAAGAGAACTCTGATCCATTTCCTAGGACAAGGGTTTTCAACCTCAACACTTTAGGTATTTTGGACGGAAAAATTCTTTATTTTGAAGGGCTGTCCTGTGCATTGTGGGATTTCTAGCCGCATCTTTGGCTCCTCTTACTAGATACCAATAGCATCCTCTCCCTAAGTAGAGGCAACCAGAAATGTTTTCAAAAACTACCAAATATACCCTGGGGATGCGTGGTTGGAGAGGTGTCAATTTGTCCATGTTAAGAAGTGTGGACCTGGAGAGCTCAGTTGGAAAAAGTTCAGTGGAGATCATATGTCTGTCCTGATGGAGAGGCATAGCAACAGCCTAATCAGAGTCTAGGTTGAATCCCATCTTGAATCTCCTGACTCCACATTGGGCCCACTTTCCAATATGCTAGGCTTCCTGAGGGCATTTGTTCCATTGGTTCTGCTTGCTAGAAGTGCTTTTCCAGATCTGTTTCCCAGTAACTTACTTCACCTGTGTGCCCTCCAGAGCCATGCACACAGCCTAATCCCTCTTCACGTTATGGCACTTTAACTACGTGACATGTCTCCTGCCCTGTTCCACTCCCCTAACACTTCCCTAAGCCTCTTGAAGTCCCTCAGGGGCATACAGTCATGAGCAATTTCAGCAAATAGAGACTGACACCTACTATGTGCCAGGTGCTGTAGACACACAGGGAACAGGCCTGTGACCAACTACCCAACCCCCACTTTTTTCTAAAACTGAAATCTAAGTCTGCTTTTTTAAAACTCCCCTGCAGCAACTGGATACCACGGAGGCCAGCCTCTGTCCTGCTGGAGTGATATTTCTGGATCTTTTGATGGTGATTCCATTTCATGTGTGTAAGGACTCCATGTGCATTTTGTGTGTGTATGAGAGATAGACACACAGAGAGAATTCTACCAAAGTAACATGTTTATGAGTACTACTAGGTAATGTTACCATAAATAACTTGGATTTCCACTGGCTGGCTTTTCTGCATAAAATGCTAATCCTTTCAGGTACAGATCCTATATAAAACACAGGGGTTAAAGGATGCCCAGAAACCTCAACTCTCTTCTGCTCCATAAGGTAAAGCTATGTTTAAGCTAATAATTCATAATTATTTTGGGGGGTGCTAACAAGGAGCCATTGACACACCTTATCAAACTATTTATTAAATATTAAACAAAATGGTAACTAAATAAAAACCTTTATTAAAAGACTGAATATATTTAAAATACGTGTGGAACTAACTAGATAGATGTGGTTGTTATTTTCTTAGTTGTTTTTCAGTGTTTTAGGAGATAATGAATTTCTCATGTCAAAACTGATGGCAGGGGAGTGATTTCATTTCACAAGACTATTTGATGGAAAATAGCTTTCTTTGTCTTGCATTTGACAAGATTTTTTTTTTAATCTAATGGGCAGAATTCTATGGTGATAGATGTGTTACATTGTCTGGTACTCCCCAGCTTTGGAAATGGCCACAACAGTTGATACTATCTGTACAAAGGGCATAGAATAGGTTACTTATCTTAATTCCCACAGTCATCCTTTAAGGCAGGTATAACCTTCCCAACATTTTCAATGTGGAATGTATATGGCAGAGTGACGATTCAAACTCAGACTTCTTACCACAGTTTTGAAACTTCTACCCTGAAGACCCTGTATGTGCTCATAAACGACCAGACTGCTATATTTTAGGGAAACCATTAGCTTCCTGGAGCTATAGGAAAGTTCAGAAAAAAGAGCCAGAAAGTATCTGCAAGAGACACTCTCCCAGGAAGCACAGATCCGTAGAGAGTTCTTGACTGGCTTGTTGTATTGAAGATTTGAATAACTATTTGGCTATTAGACTCTGTAGCCAACGAAAACACTCACTGACTAGCAATCTCATTTCTCTGAAGTTCTGTTACACAGAAATGTGGGGGCACATAACATCTCTAGGAATAGCATGGACTTTCATACACTGGGAGGGAAGGGATGTTCTTTCTTGTGTTCTGTGTCTTTGTTTATTGGGGTAACCACATGATTGGTGGCTGGATGTAGTATTGGATTTTAGGTCAGCTAGTCCTGGTGTGGTGCTGTAGAAGCCCTGGATAGCTAACTCTATGGTCAGCAGTCCAAACCTATCAGTTGTTCCTCAGAAACATTATTATGGGTTGCTATGAGTTAGAACTGACTCAATGGCACATAACAACAACAACAGTTAGAGGTGTGATTGGTGTGTACAGTTGGCTGAAGCAACATGATGGTGAGATGTGTGTGGGGGCGGGGATAATCTCCGATGGTAAACAGATAAGGATAACCATTTTCAATTTGTAAAAAAAGGCTAGAAAATATCATTTTGACAACATGGGCTTTAGATACACTAAGCATTATGAGTAATTTCAGGACAAACTAGCAAAGAGCTGGTCTAAGACAAGTCATGCTGTGTCTTGCTAGTTGTTAACATGCCTTCAGATAGTTAACTCTATATTGGTTTTTGAGGCTGCAAATCTTTGTGGGAATAGGGAGCCTCATCTTTCTCCTGTGGAGTAGCTGGTGGGCTTGAACCACCCACCCTATAATTTGCAGTCCGTTGCTTAGCCTATCCACTGCACTTGGCGGTTACGAACAAAGATTTTGCATCTGGACATAATCTCAGGCAGGTTTATTAATTGCTGGGTGTGAATTTCTCTGATCGAGAAAAGGTGTTGTAATAGAATCCACTTCACCAGGTTACTATAAAGATTTAATGAATCAATGCATTACATTCACTAGGACAGTGTTTGGCAACAATATGCTATGTATACCAGGAATGGCAGGTATTGTTATCTTGGTGTTGATCACAGATCCAGGTAATCAAGGCTCTTTTTCTGAATCAGGGATCATTTTCCTAAGCCTTACTAATCACCTTCTGTCTTGTTTCTTGCTGCGGCCCTATGAGGTAGGCAGCTATTATTATCCTCTTTTTGCTGAGGAGGAAATGGGCCTTAAGGAGACTGTGTGAACTGGCAAGTGTCAGAGTGAGGAGCCAAGTCAGACTCCCAGCTCTCAGCCCCAGCACTTACTATACTATGATAAAGCCTCAGGTGAGAGGAGAGTCCTATGCTTGCTCCAAGTCTTAGCACTTAAGATTATTAAGTGTGTGTAAAAACTTTCTAGTTTTTTTGCACACACTCCTGCATTAAGTCATTAACCCCACAATCTACAAAATGCTCCCAAGACTACATAATGCTGGACAGATGACTTGTTTCCTTAGATTCCCTTCCAAAGCTCAGCAGAAAGAAATCTCAGACACCTCAACTTAGTGATGTGTTAAAATATTTAGGAGGAAGGAGGATAGCAAAGAATACATTTGCAAAATAAGAAAAACTTACTGCTATCTCCTGAGCAACACAGAGCCTCTTCTCTGACTATATTTGTATAGGTTTTTACATGTCTTCATGCATATGATAGGTTCCATAATGTTTAACTGTCTTCCTCTACTTCAGCTTTGCAAAACCAGGCTGAAAGTTCCTTTGGTGGCTTCTTTGCTCACACAGGAAGCTAAGCTAAAAAGCAGGCGTTCCTTTTGGCTAGGAGATGCTAAAGCAGTAAAGTACACCTTTTAGAGCCCTCTGGGAGATTAACACTTGACTTTAGCTGAGTAACTTGGAACCCTTCCAGCTGTTTCCCTTCTAGAAGGCTCCGGTTATGGACGTGTATATGAGCTCCAAGCAGCAGCCCCAGTCCCTTGGAGAAGCACCGAGAACGCCATGTAGCTGGTTAGAGGCAGAGAAGAAGGGCGCTCTCCAGAAAGATGGCACCGAGGGCCCCCCAGGAGGTAACCTCCTTGTTACCACTTTTCTATTGTTTTTCTGGCAATGACATCTGCTAGTAAACTTCCATTGTACTTTTGAAATATTTTCACCCAAATGAATCATAGTAGAAAAAAAATGTCTTTTTGTGAGTATAAACAAAGGATTAAAGTCATTTTTGCTTTCTCATAATTTCCTAGTCACTGTCCACAAGTTTATTTTATCTTGTGTAAAAATAAATTCAATCTAGATTAGTTTCTGCTTTTAGCCCAAATGCATTCCAAGCAGCTGCACCATAGAATGAATCATGGTTAATGAAAATGCGTTTTTCCCATGAGGGCATTGTAATAGCTTATGGTTGCGTTTCTGGGCAAGGATTCAGTAGTAAATAAATAATAGATATAACAAATGATGTAATAAAAGCCAAAACATCATTTAAAATGTTTATAATCCCTTAAAGTGGTAAGATTATATCCAAATCCTATTAAGTGAGTGTAACTTTTTTATTTTTTACTAAACTGTTGACATAAAAATGCAACTCAATTTATCTGCAAAATCTGGTCTCTCTTAAAGGATCAGGCTAGATAGAATAGCTACAGAAAACTGTAGAGATTTAACATGCAATAATTTTCTTTATTTTTATAGAATGTAGTAGAGTGTGTGGGAGAATATTTAAATGTCCACGTCTCTTTACAAAGTTGATGGTTGTTGGTATCGTGAGGGACCCTCAAGTTGGTTCCGACTCACGGTGACTCTGTATAGAGTTTCCAAGGAGTGGCTGGTAAGTTTGAACTGCCAATCAACCTTGTGGTTCAAACCCACTTGACTTGTGGTCAAGTGCTTTATCACACAGTGCCACCCCAGGGCTCCATTACAATGTTGACAGGAAGTGGAAACTGACAACTTCGTCAGTTCTTTCCCTAAGAAATGATGAGCCATTTACTTTCACTCCTCTCATTTTTCCTATTTTTGAAAAGAAAATAAGTCCCCAAATGGTGCTAAGTGGGAATAAAGGCAGAAGGCTCAGCCTGGTGACAGTGGGTGGGGAGGAGACGCCTCAGGGACTGACCCAAGTCTCTGATGGTCCTGCTGTTCTGGGTCACCTACTCCAGCTGTAGGCTGGGACTGCATGCACCCACTCCCGAATTCCAGAAGCTTTATAAGCTGATTATTAAACATGGCCATTATCAAAATTTAAATTACATAAAGTTTCAGTTCAATAAATTATATTAAAGACAAAGGGAGATTTTAAAGTTAAAGTGATAATGCTCAATGCTCCTCACAATTTTATTATCTTTTACTATTATGTGTGCTTGGAAGGATATATCTATAGTATCGGTACAGTACAGATACTACAAATGGTGTTCTATTGCAGGTCCGTTTCCAGTTGTGTCGCAATGGTGGCCTGAAATCAGCCAACCCTACATATCAGCCCTCTGTCCTTCCCCTCTCATTTATCAGTCTCCTGCTGCCTGTTCTTCTGCCTCCTTATTGTCCCTGAAACAGAACTGAGAGACCTGCTTTGGTCATTCCTAAATATTGGGTTAGTTTTGTTAGATGTCAGTAGTCTCTCATGAAAAGAAGTATGTGAAGGTTATAATCTTCCTTCTCAATTTCTATACCCTTCTTTCAACCTGGACATGTGACAGTAAAGGAAAACAGTCTAGGGCCCGAATTGGCTATTGACTAGCAAGTTTTTGCACACAAAATAAAGTCTTGGGTTTCTGGAAGCTTACCTTGTGATCAAGGCAGAAAAGTCTTCTTCACATGGTTGTTGTTGTTAGGTGCTGTTGAGTTGGTTCAACTCATAGTAACCCTTGATACAACAGAACGAAACACTGCCTGGTCCTGTGCCTCCTCACAATTGTTATGTTTGATCACATTATTGCTCAACTATTTCAATCGATCTTCTGGGCGTCTTCTTTTTGCTGACCCTCCACTTTTCCAAACATGATGTCTTTCCCCAGGGAATGGTCTCTCCTGATACTATGTCCAAAGTACAAGAGATAAAGTCCCACCATTCTCATTTCTGTTTTGGGTGTGGCGCTGTGGGCTAATACGTCAGACTGCAAAGTCATTTGAACTGCAGGGTTGGTGGTTCTAGCTCACCAGCTGCTCCTCAGAAACCCTATACAGGGTCGCTATGGGTTAGAATCGACTTGACGGCACTTTACAGCAACAACAATATATCACATACTGACACTTGTAAATTACAACAAAATAAATTTCAAAAATTTGGTTATATATACACATAACCAAAACCCACTGCCATCCTTAGGGTTTCTGAAACTGTAAAATTTTAGGGGAGCAGACAGTTTCAATTTTCTCCCCAGGAGTGGCTAGGGGGTTTGAACTGTTGACCTTATGGTTAGTAGCCCATATGATTAAACCACAATGCCCATGTACAAAGACATGCACAATACAAGTTCACAGTTTTTGTAATTAGACTCAACATTGTCATAATATTTATTAACATTTATTCCCAATGTTTATACAAGGGGACTTCAAAAAATATTCATTCCATTTTTCCATGAACTTTTTGAAGCACCTGGTATTATCTTGAGAACTTGGCACATAAGGGTTGTGAACCTGGAGTAGCACTGTTTTAGTGCATTTTAAGATGAATGATTCTTGAAATAATATTCATCTGAAAAGTGATAAGCTGTGGTGTTGGTTCTGTCTCACAGTGATCCTGGATAGGGTATAAGAGGCTGTCAATTTTTATGAGAGCCGAAAGCCGCATCTTTCTCCCATGGATTGACTGGTAGATTTGAACTGCTGACCTTGCAGTTAGCAGCCCAGCTAGTAACCCACTACGCTAGCAGGACTCCTTTATCTGAGGAATAAATTCCTAATTAATGGCTTTTCAAAGGTTCACTTCCTGGCCCCTTCCCACTCTGTTCTATTTCTGATTCGAGTATTCAAATGTTAAATGACCACCTCTTCCAACTTGTTTCATAAGCATGTGAATTCCATTCCCAATTAAAAATTAGCGTAGTGGTTACGAATCGGGCTGCGAACCTTAAGGTCAGCAGTTCGAAACTACCAGCCGCTCCGCGGGAGAAAGAGGAGGCCTGCTACTCCCGTAAAGATTTATACCCTCGGAAACCCTGTACAGGGTCGCTATGGGTCGGAACCGACTCGACGGCACTTAACAACAACAACAACAACCCAGGCAAGAAAGGTAGATTTCAAACCAATACAAGTGAGCTTCTCCCCTCCCTCCTCACTTCTCATTGCTGATCCCAACATCTCTCCCTCTGCTAGTAACCTCCCTTAGGTCCAAGTGGCCCACATCCTCATTCCTGGCATTTTTACCCATTACTCTGGAGAGTTGGCAACAATCTGATATTGCATCATGTTAGCCCCTGATCAGATGCTCTTTTCCTCTTATTTTATACGATATTTGAGAACTGCTATAGAGGGTCAGCAGTTTAAAGGAGTATTTAAAGCAGTAGTAACTTAATAGCCAGAGCTCATCTGACAGCCTCACCCAGGACTGTGGGGCTGGCTCTTCTTTGGGTACTTTGTACCTTTGGAGGAGTGGTTTAGGAAGGATTTAAGTGACATGTTCTGGCCCACATGAGGGAGTGCTCTTTCACTTCAAGACCTAAAAATATCAGGCTCCTGTTTACCTCACGCCTCCTGATCCAGCTAGCTCACTTGTATTATTTTGCTGGTACGCTAACTTTCTCTTGTCATCAAAACACAGGGTGAGAACTAACTAGATTCCACTTGACCCACACCTTCTCTGCCTTTCTCTAAATGGAGGAAAGGACCCAGGTGATTCCTAAGCCCTCAAATTTGCAAATGTCATGCCTCCTATCATCACACCATATAATTGAGTTTTGTGCTCATTTGCAGACATTGTCATGAAAGCATTGTCCAGTCTGTTTATGAAAAGATTACTTAATCTGGTTCCATTTGAACAATTACACTGAGTGCATATTTGCATAGGATTAACATAATATAATCCCTTTTGCTTTCTGCTACAGATTCTAGCAAGATAAAGTTATCTCTTCAAAGCCACCAGAGATTTGTTCCTACAAATTATGCCAGCTACACTCAGGAGAATTATCTGTATGCAGGCAAGAAGATTGTCATTCAAGAATCAATAGAGAGTTATGGAGCCGTGGTGTGGCCAGGGGTGAGAAAGCTACTACATTTGTGATACCAGCGTTTCCGGAGATGATAACAGTGCCTTCTTACCTCTCTGCTGCTTTGGACACTGCAAAGTGTTTGAAATTTCTGTGGTTCGCAAATTGAAGGTCTGCGGCTGACTCACTAGGAGTAGGGACGGTGGGTTTAGGGAATCCCTGGGCTCAGCATATTCACAACATCTCTTCCTGAAATATTGATTTTGCTCTATGCTATGCTAAGTTGTTGTTGTCAGGTGCCATTGAGTCGGAACCAACTCATAGCGACCCCATGCACAGCAGAACGAAACAATGTCCGATCCTGGGCCAACCTCACCACTGCTGCCACATTTGACGCCATCAATGATGCCACCTGGCTGATCCATCTCGTTGGGGGTCTTCCTCTTTTTCTCTG